CCACTATCCCTCCTCACTTTGCTGCTGCTCAGTTAATCCCTCGTGTTTCGTGATAGGCTGCTGATTCCTGGGAAATAATCATCCAGGCTAGTTATTAGGAAATGCTCTGACTGGGGAGGCAGAGGAGGTATTGCAATGCTCAGTGCCTTGTCCTCTAAAAAGGCTGAGTCCTCAAACAGAGGGGAAAAAGAGGGGTTTTCCCTTCTGTTGAGGAAGAAGCTCTTCCTTTTCAAGGAAACTCTTCTCTTTTCAAGGAAGAGTTGCTGATATTTCACTGCAAGATGTGCAGGAGCCCTAGGAGCCCTTGGCAGGGACCCCAGGCCTGGCACAGCCATGGAAGCCCCTGGTGACACTCCCAAGGTGGGGGATGAGCTGGGTTAGCTCCCAGCTGCCCTTGGACACATCTGGGAACAAAGAGGTCCCTTCAGTTGAGGGACCTGTCTTGGTCATACCTAAATGTTAGCTGGTAAATCCCTTCATGTCTGAATTCCTGCTCATGGGCACATTTGATCTGGGCTGAGCAGTTTGATGCTGGGTTTGTGATGAAGCCCCAGTCACTGACTACACGGCCCCTGTGCCCACTGAGGCAGCAAAGGTCCCACCATGAGCCTCACACTCCCCAGCTCACCGAGAGGCACAACAGGCCATTTTGTGTGTGTGAGACCTGCAAAAGCCCTGCTGACCCAGGGGCCCGTGGGGCCAGCTGCCTCAGCCCACCCGGGCCATGCAAGGGGCTCTGTGTGGTGCTTGGTGGGACCTTTGCTGCTCTGGTGGGTCTCAGGACTGGAAGTATAAGGATTCAGACCCACAGACGTTGCTGTTTGTAATCTCAACCTCAGCCATCTCCTTGGCCTGCTGATGGTTCACAGGGACCCTTTTCCCACTTCACTTTTGCAGCTCATGGCAGTAACCTGATAACACAGAAAGTGTTTAGGTGCTTTGAAGCTGTGCTTTTAATCCAAGTGCATCACAATATAAAATGAGAAATTTTGAGATTAGGAAGGATTGTCTCTAATAAGTGCAAATGAGCTTTAATGAGGCCTCCCTTGACCTCACCAACTGGACAGCATTGTTCTGGCCATGGCTGCTTGCACTCCTTTGCTAACCGAGCTTGAGGGACACCCAACAGGTCACAAGCACAGCAGGGACACAGGAGATTAGTCTGGATTTGATCAGATGCTGCCAGGGCTGGGGTCTGTAATGCTGAGACAATTTGCCAGCAACCAGCATGAGGTAGCTTAATCTGGAGAGGTGCTAAAGTGTGTGTTTTACACTAGTTTTTTGGCTGCAGTTTCCTAAGCCACTTTGCTGTTTCAGAAACCCCTTCCTGACAGCCGTTCTGGTATGGGAGCTCAGCAGCACCATGTCTGCCCCGGCCCAATTATACCATGAGATCAAGAGCTGATGTGACAGCAGCAGGAACACACTCTGGGGCCCACTCCAACCTGGGCAGAGCAGGTTAGGGAGCAGAAGGTGGATGGTTGACCACCCCCCTCAACTGAGTTCACTTCTCCAAGGCTGTGTCCTGTTAAGAGGCCTCATACGTGCATTACAAAAGCAACAAACCCATTTAATTCTCAATCTGCAGCACCAAATCTTTATTTCTAAAAGCAAATGCTTTGTGGAAGACTCAATAAAATGTCATCGGGACTTAGGAGCAGCCACCACTAATGTGGTTGGCAACTGGAGCGTGGACATGAGGCTCAGCTGGTGTCTGAAGCTTTGAGGAACGCCAAGATCATACAGAAAGGCAAACACAGCGGCAAACGTTATGTTATTTGCTCCCCCACCGTGTAGTGAGTGAGTTTGATCCCATCTCCATCTGTGATTTCTCACTCCAGCCCTCCCAAGTCCTTGCCAAGGTCCTCCAGAAAAAAACTCCAGGATCATACTTTCTGCTGTAAAATGCAACACAGGCAGAAAGATCACTGGCAACGTAACGGTTAGATCCCCCACCTTCCTCTTTTATTGGCTGTTTTACTTTTCAAGCAGACTATTGTTGTCCAAAGCGGTTGCACGCCACCCAGCTGTCTCGCTCCCTCCCGGGCGGGCCGGTACCTGCCTCTTCCCGCAGCCTACGGCAGGGGCGAACTGGGGAACCAGCGTGTTTTCCTGAGGCAGAGAACGGCTGTCGGGAGTTGCTGTTCGGAGTGCAGCGGACACCAAACGACCGGGAGGTAACGAGGGGCCGCCCCCGGCGGCAGCGGAGCTCCCGCTCCCCCAGCTCCGCTCCAGGCCGCTTCCGCGGCCGTGCCCGGGCCGTTCCGCAGGGCCCCTCTCCCGCGGGAGCCGGTCCCGGGGCCGCTCCGCTCCGTCCTGTCGCAGCGC